CATGTACTCCCCCCGCATTTCAGAATAACCCCCCTCGCCTATTTTCGGAACTAATGCTCTGTCCCTATATTTCTATGTCCATGATATTCCCGCACCGTGGTTCTGGGACCGCTTCCTCTCACTCCCTCTTATAGGCACTAGCCATATAGTAGTATTACATATATGGTTTCACTGAGCGTTTCGGTGCGCACGAAAACGGTGCGCGTTGTTTCACTGGGAAACTTGGTGCCGAGTTTTTGCACTTTAGTGCGAAAATTTAGCACGAGCTTCATGAGACGGTGTCGGTTTAGTGCAATATGGCTGCACGGCAGGAAATAGACAATTTCAAAAGTCGATTTGCCTTTGAGCTGCTTGAGTTAATGTCATCATCATCATCTAGTAGTAGTGATGAAGATGAATTCTTTAAAAATCCACATAAAATTCGAAAAATTGAAAATTTTATAGAATTAGTGCATGGAATGACGGATAAAGAGGTTATACACACAGGCATATTACTTTTTGTTATTATTAAAATACATTTATTTTTATTTATTATTATTATTATTAATATTATTAATAGAGTATATATATTTGCTACACAAAATAGATTTATTCTACATATATGTTCATATATGTGTATTATTGTTACAGTTTAAAAGTCATTTTCGTGTTAGCAGAAGTACAGCCTATAAAATAATCGATATTTACGCTAATTCACAATTCTATCCGTCTGATCGAACCCACGGAGGTAGTAAACCTACCTCTGCTGAACTGCACATATTGTTATTTTTATGGTATATTTCATATGTACATACATCATACATTAAAACTGTCACTCATAAAACATTTATGCAAATAGTGATTTATATCATTCCATGTAGGTTTGCTGGAAATAAAGTTTGTTTAAGAGATGTCTCTCAGAGATTTGGAGTATGTCCTGCAACTGCGTTGAGACAGAATAACCGAGTAATGAATTTTTTAATTAATGTGGCTCCGAATATAATCAAATTTAGTGAAAAGGAACACACTGCAAACGAGTTCTTTGAAGTATAATGATTTGAATATTACATTAGATTTTATGTTATATAAATAATTTTTATTGATGTATACATTTATTCTGTTTTCACTTCCTTTTTGTTAATATATTATAACAGTAAATATAACATTAATTAGTTCTATAAAGTATATATAATTTTAAGATTGCAGGTTTTCCTCAGGTACTTGGCTGTATTGATTGTACATCAATTAAAGTACGTACTCCACGACATAAAATTAAATCGACTTATGTAAACAGGCACGATATTCCATCAATAACACTACAAGGTATATGCGATGCTCGCAAAAGATTTGTCGATGTTTTCACTGGTATACCAGCGAAAATTCACGATTCACGTGTCCTGAAGTTATCAGATATTAATGAAAATTTACCAGGAATATGCGAACAAGGAAAATTTCATATATTAGGAGATTCTGCGTATTCCATAAGGGAATGGTTAATAACTCCTTTTAGAGATTACGGAAATCTATCTGATAAGCAACGAAAATTCAATAAACGGTTTTGTGCAACTCGAGTAAAGATAGAGAATGCATTCGGGCTCTTGAAAACTCGTTTTCGACAGCTAATCGAAATAGATCTATATACTATTGATAAAATATCAAAATTTATTATATCATGTTGTGTCCTGCATAATTTTTGCATAGATAATAACGATGACTTTGATTTTGATATCGATATAGAAATCAATGAATATTATGATAATGAAGACAGAGGTGAACAAGAAGTTCTATTACGGAGATTAGGGGAAATAAAAAGAAACCAATTGATGAACATACTTTTTCCATGAAATAAAAAGCAATATAATGTGTATGAAATTATCAAACATTTATTTATTCTGTAGCAAATAAGTACATATTAAACTTTTCAAGAAAAAACAAAGCGTATTCTTCTTATAACACATATGTATTGATTACTTTTCAACATTCGTATATCTCTTATTTATCTTATTTATTTCATATATGTAATCTTTTAACACACCTTCCTATAAAATATACCTTTCTCACAAAGTTTGACTGTTAATTGTAACTTAAAATTATACATATAATATAGTATAAATTCACTTTATACTAGTTTGATCAATATTACATCAATCTTTCGTAAAAAAAAGTATGCAAACGTATGCACTAATATTATAAACAAAAAGACGTATAATTATTATAGGTATAAATTATAATATAAGAGATATATATTAGAAACAAAGAATTAAAATTACATATCACATCCAATATTTTGGTCATGTAGGAACTTTCAATATTAACATATGGTTAAGTTTTAATCTAATGGTGAATTCGATTGGAAGCTCTAAAAATAAAAAAGAAAAATTGAAAGCACTAGCAATACTGTTTGTTTTTACATTATATTACTTTTTTCCCGTTACTCTTGTTTAGCGAACAACTCCCGTATTAGATCTAACTTTTCTCGATGACGTTTTTCTTTTGCCGCTTCTTTCTTTTCCCAGTATTCTATCTTTTTATCGACAAAACTTGGTTTCGACTTCTTTGTCTTCGGCGATAAGCTTTCAGTAGAATGTGTGGAGGCACTACCATTGCTGATTTCTTCTAACATTTCTGCATTCAATTTAGGATATTTAACGCTCCTCGCACTTCGCAATACCTCGGGTTCAATACTATCGTCCGCATGAGCAATTTTACGCAATTCTTCTTCGAATGGTACAGTCTCTCTAGAGCTGCCTGATTTAGAGTTGTTCTCAACTGCTTTTTTTTTTCTTTTAAGGATGGTTTTATACCGATTTTCAATTTGAAGAGGAGTTTTTGATATGTTCAATATTGTCATCATGTCTTTTGAAATTTGCGCCCACATCAATTTTTTAGTTTTAAATTTTTTCATGGGACCAATATTCAACATATATGTTTCGTATTTATCAAGAAGAAACGATGTTGCTGAATCGCTCCAGTAATCTGAGAATCATCATATTGTTTAGTGAATAATACAATAGTCTACATTATAGTAAATCTATTAACAGGCATTACAATTAATGGAAAAACCTTGTGCTGGTATAATATTATGGATAGTCGTAAATGTTTTATCAAAATATATTTACCGATATTCTTTTCTGTTTTTTTGTATTCCTGGGATTGTGATTCATTCTGATCGTACTCCTGTGATTCGAAGGATTCAAACAAGAATTGTGCTTCATTTTCTTTATTGTACTCTGATAGCTGATCTTGATTGTTGCAATTACTACCGTGGATATTCATGTGGAATATCAACTGTTCTCTGTAATACAAAATATACTGACATTCTTACATAGCCATATATGTCTTTCTTTAATTTATATTTTTTTCTGTTGTATAGTTTTGAACTCTGTAGAATTATAATTCTTTGAAATAGTAATAAAAGAGAAAAACGCAGGATTGCTAATTAATACAGATATGTAAGAAAATGAAGAGATTCCATCTATTTTAAAGAAAGTTTATACATTTTTAAAAAATAAACTTATAAAATTAAATGATAAATATTGTGTAAAATAAACTTTGCTCTTAAGTTCTTAATATACTGAAAACCGGAAGATTTCGATAGCTATAAATGCGTCTTACATAATTAAAAATTCTACTTACTCATCTTCAAGTACTCGAAATATTTCTTGAATTTTCTGATTTTGACTTCCACTTAGGACAAACATTCCATTTTTAATTAAAAGTTTCACATATTGTATGCTGTAGGTATCATCGTCTGAAATTAATTGGTACAGGAATATATATTTTTGAATATCAAAGACTATTATATAATATTTCTATGTCTTACAAGCTGAAAGTATAAATTTATTTGTAAAAAGAGATGAGAACTTAAGGAACCATTCTGACTAGTGAACGTTATATATGTATACAGAATGCAGTCGTGAAAACAAAACAATTATTTTATTCATTTCATAGTGCAAATAAATTATTTAAGGATTTTACATTATGCATTCGGTAAAAATGTAGATTAAGGGACTTTCCCTAATAACCTTGACAACATATGTCAAGATGAAGGTCATTGGGGGAAGGTCTAGGGTTGCCAGATTCAAAAGTAAATTACCGAACATTTCGTTTTTTGAAACAAAATCTAACCGGACAAAACCGGACATAAACAATAATCATAAAATTAGATTAAATACAAAATTTTGTAATAAATTACAATAATTACAATTGTTTTCCAAACAATTTTGAAAATAGAGTTGGATGAATAAAATAAAATATATATTATATTATATATCATTTAATATCAGATATTTTATTTTTAAACATAAAATTATAGTATTATATTTTACATATATAAAAACATTTAATATTTTAAATAAACATTTATTTATACATTTTAAAACATTTAACACGTTTAACATATTATCTTTCACATTTAGATATCACATGTTAAATAAAACTTTTTGAACAAAAATAATATTAAGTAAAGAAAGTACAATCACGATACAAAATTTGTGATACGAGTCTTTTTAATTATAATTTGAGTTCATTTCAAGTATTTCTCCGCATTTCTTACTGCTAGGGGCACTTAAGTGCACTTTTTGAACTTACCCATAGTGGATCGCCATGAAAATTGGGCGGTCAGACGTAACTTGTCATACGTAACTTGTCATGACACTCCAAATTTTATTTTATTATTTGGGTTTGTACTTATAAACCGGACATATGATGTCCGGTTTGAGTAGTCAACCGGGCACCGGACAAGACTCCTGCCCCTGTATTCTGTAACTCGTTAAGGCAGTTAACGACATCGTTGCGCAGATATCTTATGGTATAAAAAGCTGCGCAACGATGTCGTTAACTGCTTACGGCCTCTGTTGCGGGATTCTCTAAATTTTTCGATAATTGTTGTTATCGTTAACTAGCGACAACCAATGAGAGCCGCGCTTTTTTTTAGGATTGTCCTGCTATTGGCTGTCGCTAGTTAACGATAGCAACAATCATCGATAAAACGTTTAGAGAATCCCGCAACTAAAAACCTGACAGTCCGGGTCAAAACCGGACAGTTGGCAACCCTAGGAAGGTCCCTAATCTACATTTTTATCATGCATTCTATTTATTCAAGTTTTTCGGGTAGTAATATCCAAAAACTATTATACACATACGTTTTTATTATCAATTTACACAGAAATAACCTCAAAATACAAGATCATGCAAATTCCATAATTCTACTTACTTATTAATTTATTGTATAACTCTGTTTCAGTTGGTTGAAATTTCAACGAAAGCATGTCATTATTGACTTTAAAACAAACGCTTAATTCTTTTAATTGCTCCATAGCGAAGTTTATTAGAGAAAAATATTCCACAGCACCGAAACGCAGCGCGTTTCACTGGGCTGCACTGAGTGCACACTAAAAACTCGTCCATGTTTAGCTGGGAGTGCAAGAAACTCGCACTTTCGACAACCTCGTGTAGTGCTGGGCTGCGTTCAGAAATTACGCCTAGGTAAAGCGGGGAGCACAGACTTTTGCATAACGCATAAACCATATACATAAAGAATTTGATTGGTCCATTGACTCATGCATAAGAAAATGGACCAATGAAATTCCTTATGCACATGCTTTATGCGTTATGTAAAAGTCTGTGCTCCCCGCTTAACTCTAAGCTATAGTTTACGTTACGTATATTATATCAAAAATGCACCCAAGAGTTATCTGAGTGTAATTTCTGAACGCACCCCTGCTACTACGAAACGAGTTTTTGGTGCGCACTCAGTGCGGCCCAGTGAAATGCGCTATTATATTATTCGCATGTAAAGGCGGCTTTACACCGCATGATCGTTGTCTCGCGGAAAAAATGTTGCGCGGACGTAACAATTGGTTGCATTCCATCTACGACACAGCAATCACCTCATCTTTATTTAACATTAGCGAACGACGAGGATGCAACGATTGCCGTGTCACACCGTGTCACTTCTGTGTCTCTTGTTGGATAATAATCTTATGCGTAGATATTATTTTTTACATTAAAATAATCCAGATGACTTATGAACGTACTTCTTATATCGTACATATATTTAAAATGTAAATATTCTAAAGCGCCAACCGAAAATTAGCAACCATAACCAAGAGTGTCCGACTATGCTTTTCTGC